AATCTCACATTCATAGACCCACGTTTTGGTCGGACTAAAAAGCACTTTTATCCTGCATTTATATTTTACATTGATTTTTTCACCAAGTTCGAAAGTCAATACTACATCACTCCCACTTCCCCTCCATCAACTTCATCAAAAATCATGATTCTTTAAAGGCCCATCCCCACCCTCCACAATATGACCCCACGTGTGTCCCTGTCCCACCGTTAATTTCCACCTTTGAACACGTGTAACTAAATCCGGAACGAGCTTCGGGTCCACATGTCTCGATCGGACCGCCAAACTACCCTGTAAGGACTAAGGACCACCACGCGGCCGCCTCGAGAACAAATTTTTGAAACTGTCCGTAAGGCCCCACATAGGGACCCGCGCTCCACATCACCTCTAAGACCAAACCGATGAGGTGGCCCCCACACCATTAAAAAAAAATTAGAAAAAAAAAATAAAACACCGCGGTCCACGGACTATCCCTTCTCCCCGTTGCGTTATTTTGGTTGAGTTGTGACCCACACACGCCTAATCCCGACCCCACTTTACACGTGCACACCTTTAAAACTGTCCTCACGTGACCACGTGCTCTACTATTTATTTATTTATTTTTTTTAAATGTATTGTACATGACTTCAAGCTTGTAACTTGATATCGTCAATGGCGGATACGCCGAGAAAGAAGCTACCAATGAGAACTTGCTGAACTGCGTGTTGGTTTTCTAACATGTCAATGCTTTGAAGGACGAGCCATGAACTGAATCTCTTGTTTGTCATAAATTTCCAAAGAGAAATCTCTGAGCATTTGAGTTGTAGTAGAAGTAGTAGTACTCTTGGTAGAAGTAGTAGTACTCTTGGTAGCAGTAGTTGCAGAGGTCGAGCTTGGAGCCATGAGTGATGCGAACTTAGCAGAACTTGAAACCGCCGCGCTGCTTTGAAGTTGAACGGGAGTGGCTTGCATGGCTGATACGAAGGATGATATCGGCCGAGCTGAAATGTTAATCAAGGGGGTTGCGGATGCTGGAAATGCAAATATTTGAGGTTGATTTGACGGTCCGGCGACGGATGCCATGGGTGGGACCATTAAGAACGCGCCTGGTACGACGGTGTTGGATGGAATAGTCCAAATTGGAACGAGTCCTTGCGGCACTAGTTGTGGTTGTTGTTGTGGTGGTGGTCGTTGAACGGTAGTTATAGGGGCTAGACCGGAGGACACTGAGACGGCATCGTTGACGTCGACGTAGTCACTGTTAGAAGGTCGTTTACGCTTCTTCTTAACATTGGGATCCTCGGTGTTTGCGTTTGACGTTGTGGGAATTTTGAGTGTACCGTTAACCGACATGGCGATGGCGGGGACGGTGCCGGTTCCCGTTGCCGCAATTATCGCCGGTTCGGCGTGCTCCAATAACCACCTGATAGTCTCACCATCCGACTTATGGCCAAGTTCACGAGTCAGTTGAAAGATTCGCGCCGCACACGTGGCAGGCATTCGGATCCTCCGACCCCGCCCCTCTACTTTCGTGTGACGGTCCTTCGTGGACGCCCTTTTAGGCTGGGCCACCGCCGCCGCCGCCGACGCCGCCGCTCCCGCCGCCAACGGAATCGCCGATGGAACGTGCACCGCCACAGGCATGACGCCGCCGCCGACGCCGCCGCTCCCGCCGCCAACGGAATCGCCGATGGAACGTGCACCGCCACAGGCATCACTCCTACCGCTGCCTCATCACTAGTATCCGGCTCTTCCTTCGGAGCAAGCGCTGAGTCTTCCTTCCCTGGTTCTGCCTCGCCTCCATTGATTCGAAGATCAACCGTTCGTGTATCTTCATCTTCTTTAACCCCCAGTTTATGAATCCCCGCCATGTGTTTCCAATCAAAAGCAAGAACAGAAGAACCCAAAAAAGAAGAAAAAAAAAAAAAAAACTGGTGAAGAACAAGAGAAAATGGCGGCGTGACAAAGTGACAAGAAAACGAGAGAGTGTGAAACAAAGACAGAAGAAAAAACACACCAAAGACTACTACATATACAAAATAGAAGGAAGGATAAAAGTCTTACATATAGCTGTTGTTAATAAATCCACTGAATTTAAGGATTAGGCTGGTTTTTAATATGGGGGGGAATTGAAGAAAAATCAACGGTTATCTAGAGAAGATGGAGGTGTGAAGCCATTGGATGATGACATTTGGTGGGTCCAAACTCCACACGATTATGAGATAGTGTGCTAGGTGGGGTCCAAATTATAAATTCATTTGATTTTGTAAAAATTAAGGGAGTATGATTTGAGATTGAGAGGTAAGTTAGGTGGTTGGAGCTTTGTTCTGGGCCTTTTTCATCATTTCCATCCACACGTTTGCAAAATTGAAAGAAAAAATAAGCCGAGTTGTTTAATGCGAATATTTATGGAGTGCGTCGATTTTAGTGCCTAAAGTGATTCATCCTTTATGTTTATACTTTCACATCACATTATATTATCTTATGGGAAAATTGAATTATAGTTCCTCATTTATTTTTTTTTCTAAGGTATGTTTAAAATTTAATTTTTAATTACTTTTTTATTTACTTTGAATAATTTTAATATAATTTTTTTAATTTTTTGAGTATAAATTTTAAATAAAAATTTAACATATTATAAAAACAATAATTAAAATTTTTTTATTAAATAAAAAATTTTAATTATTATTCATATAAATTATTAAATTTTCATCTGTT